GCGGCTTGGATCTAAGCACAACACATCAAGAATGTCCACTAGTCTTTGTCAAGAGGAACTACTCAGGACAACGTGTTCATACTTTTTAAATGTTCATTCTTTTTTTGGAGGCTCAGAGGGCTTGAACTTCAGGGCAAAGAAGACTTCCTATGGAAGACATCTTGAATGACCTCTGGGCAAGCCCGAAGCCTTTATACCATTTATACCGCACCTTCAGGAGCTGGAAAACACACTGCCTCCGGGTCTGCCCGGCATAGATTTCCTCGCTCATGTTCAATGACCATTTATATAGATCCATTTAGAAGATTCTTCCTCAAAATTCCTAGCACGCATTGAAGCTCCCCTCCCCTGCCTGCCAGATAAACCTTGGGTCCACACGCCAAAGCAACGGAAGGTCCGGTATGGTCCTCCATTTGGGAGGCCCTTTCATCTCGTTTGAACGATTTTCTGCGGCTTGGATCTAAGCACAACACATCAAGCATGTCCACTAGGCTTTGTCAAGAGGAACTACTCAGGACAACATGTGTTCATACTTTTTAAATGTTCATTCCAGACAGTCGTCCAAGCTCCAATCTCCAAAGTGGACACTCACCTGAAGCTGGTACATCCCAGCCGCTTTTTTTCAGCGGTTCCTTTCCTCCGCTCCGCCGCTCCATCCCTCCCGCGCCCGCCCGACCGAGGAGTGCCGGCGGCATGCCCAACAACCTCCGCGACCTCCGCTACCGACCACCGAAGGTGGGCGCCCACGAGCCCACCGAGGCCAGCCGATGGTGTCGACGTGGTTCCACCGGTCGTGTTGATGGAGGGTGATTGGAGAGGAGTGGAGGGTGATTGGTCCGTTTTCCATGTGCCGTTCTGCAACATGCGGTTCGAAAAAGCGGAAGAGAAAGGCATCCAAGCAGCCTGGTGGCATTTGGCATGCAATATTCTTGGCACCTCGGGCATGCCCATCCTGCCACATGACATGACTTCTGACATCGTCACACTGCTTTCTTTTTCCTTTCAGGACCTGTGGTCACATGTCCTGTCACGTTCCGAGATTGCCTCCCTATGTAGGCGTAAGTGAAAAGGGCATCCCCTACTGTAGGCATCAAACTGGTGATCAAAGACATCCCTTTTTGCTCACGACAGCTTCCCTCGCGCAAAAGTGACCAGTTCGAACTCCAAATTCTTCCTGGGTGCTAGACTGATCGAGCTGGACAGCTCGAGGCGGATTTTTCTTTCCATCCTCCGAAGTTTGAGTTGCTATGTTTCCTGACCACACAGCTTCCGAGTAACTCGACACATCACATCCCCAGTGGCTTTTGGCCCATATACCTTCCGTCTCTCTCTCTCTCTCTATTAGGTTGGAGGCCATCGCTCTTACTGTAGGTTGCAGGCGATTGCTATTAGGCTCCCTCACTCTCGCTCTCACTCTCACTGTGGCTCTCTCTTTCTGCTTGGCCCCTCGATCTCGCGCCAGGTCGGCGCCGGAGGCGCGAAACATGGCCCCGCGGTGTGGCGTGAGCAAGCCTTGGAGGGAATCAAAACCAGTGACTTAGGGAATGGTCCAAGTGGCCCTCGGCAGATGCCTCAAGGTCATGGGCACGGGACAATGGGCAGATTTATGCAGGAGGTTGCCAGGGCGCGATGCCTTCAACACTGCAGATTGAAAGGGGGCTGAAAGCTCGTTCGTCGCTTTCGCTCCATTGTCCTACCTCGCCTGCGGTCGAAGGTGCAAAGCGACTGTTGAACGAAGATACGTAGAAATTGAGCCTTGCGTCAGTACCCTGGTGTTGAAGGCATCTGTTTTCCCGTTTCAGCCTGCCTCGTGTTAGGGACGCGTGCGCACGACGCGGGGGGGTGAGGTAGGGGTGAGTGTGCACACGACGCTCTAGGACTCGAGTCACATCCAAACCGGGAGACCGGGAGACCTCTGGGACTGCGTTCGGGGGGTCTTTCTGGGGTGGCAGTCCGGACTGGCCCGGACTGGCAGTCAGAGGAGTGTGGACTGAGTTGTATTTTCATTGTTTCTGTTCATATGTGTGGGTCACGGCACCGGACTACCCGAGTGTTTCAACCCAGTGACATGAACGGAAGAGACGACCTGACATGGTCAACCTACCGTGAGGTTGGGGCTCCGGGTTTTGGACCAGTTCCGCGCACGGTGTCTGTCCATTCGCCCCCTACTACCCCCCCAAAAAAAGACACACTAAAGAACATCCATTTGCAGATGTGTTGCCGAGGGTTGTTCATTCATTCATTGGAAGATTTTACTGTAGAGCTTTCCCCTAGTACGGTTTGTACCAAGATGGTGTTCCAGGTTCTTAAGCACCATTTTTCCACTCCAGCTGAGCTGAACACTTTGAACGGGTCACCTGAGGTGACATCATCTCCACCTTGCCTGGTGATGAGTGGCATGGCCGCACGAGTCGTTTCGGCGGAGAACTCGGAGGGTCCACGGTGATGCGGAGAACTCGGCCGTTTCTGGGTACCAACGGTGTTTCTTATAGGGATTGGACGACTCTGACTACACAAACAACATGACAAATCATGACCAACATGACAGGAGTCTAGCAGTTTCGAAGTGGTATTTGATGGGAGAGTCACAACAATTGCTTTCCTCAAAGTGATGCTTGTAGATACTTGCGACAGAACACATGACTCATCACCTCACAATCAGACATCTGGGGACAGCCCTCCCAAGGTTTCTCATCCCCTTTCAGACATCGGTGCCCAGTCATTCGCTTTCAATTTTCCACTGACCTGTCCACAAGCATCTGCAATCATCTGCAATCTATGACATGGACGCATGACCTATGGACCTATGGACGTATGGACCCATGACCCTCCTGGACCCAATGCATGACCGAGCGCATCGACCGAGCGCTCCGCTCCTCGCGCTCCGCATCTCGCCCCGAGCCCCGAGCCCCGAGGCGCCGGTGAGGCTCGTGGCGAAGATCCGCAGCGTGCTGTCGTACCTCCGTGACTTGGCGCAGCCCAAGACCCCCAAGGCGCTCCTGGCGAACTCCATGATCGACACCATCTCTGCGCCGCCTTTGGCGCAGGCCGGGAGGATGTTCTGTATGTGTGGGCTGGTGGTCTGGTGCACCCATTGGGTGACGTTGGGCTTGGAAACGAAAGGGGAGGATGTGATTATGATCAGTGGAGGGCATGGGACGATGAATATTGAGGTTGAGTCCAAACTGCAGAGTGTTGTTTTGACTCATGTCCCATCAGACCCTCGAAACTGCAGGGGAGTGGACCCTCGAGCGTCCCTTTTGTCCACCCGCGGACACTGCGACGTTCCATCCAAGTGGGACGAGGAATTTGGCGTGGCTTGGCATTGCAGAAGGCATTCCCCTGGGACGCCTAGGACGAGCACCATTACCTTTTTTCCCCAAACAGTTGACTGTTGGGGTTCTATCTTAGAAAGAAAAGAGCTGGCCATGCTCACTGGCCGCGCCTTTGATCTCTGTGGCTGGGCTCTGTGGCTGGGCCTTGTCCTCCTCTTGTCCTCCTCTTGGCCGCGCCCCTGAAC